ATGGGCCCGAGTACCGGAATTTCGGGGTTCGGAGCAATAAAACAACAACCATAGTCTGGCCTGCCAAATTATCTCCGCTACAACTCTGTGCTTATGTTCTCTGCTAAGTACCATCTCTTCTTGCTGTATTATGTCCACGGAAGGCTAGTTGCCGCAGTCGCACCCNCGCATGGGCCCGAGTACCGGAATTTCGGGGTTCGGAGCAATTAAACAACAACCATAGTCTGGCCTGCCAAATTATCTCCGCTACAACTCTGTGCTTATGTTCTCTGCTAAGTACCATCTCTTCTTGCTGTATTATGTCCACGGAAGGCTAGTTGCCGCAGTCGCACCCATGGTAAACTGTGTCTGACTACGTTGTAACAGTTTTCCTCGACATCAACCTGATCCAGTGTACCTCTAAAGTAGCGCCAGCGACCTCTCTGATTCGGGGACACGTAGCTAAAGAACAGATTGTGTTCTATGGAACGGATATTAGGGCGGCTCATAACCCTAACTCTAACCCTATCCTCAAACCCCAAGCCCATCCGATGCGTCCTTGGTTGGCGCTGGTGGACAAGTTCTGGGTTGATATGTCGGTGGCAAAGTCCTAGGTTGAAGGGCCCATGGGCGGCCCATTGATGACCCATGGATGTCCCATGGGCGGATGAGTAAAAGTGATGGTAGTGTGGGAGATTGCAGGCGGGGGGTAAAAAGAGGCATGTTTGCACACACTCACATTTTGCTAGCTATAGCACAGCACCTCACAATGGGTCTGTTGTGATGATGGTTGAACATTTTCAAACTACAAACAGATGCACAAATACTCGGCCCTTTCTTGTACGTCTGTAGACTTTATCCCTTTGGTTGCTGCCTACTCTATAAATCGACTGCTAAATTACGGTCGTCTGCCTTCTTCTGCTTCACTTACCCATAGTCATGCATGCCGTAGTTGATGGATCATTGACCTCGCATCCTTACAAAGCCGGGACGGAGAATGCCGGATTCTCGCTGAACCAGGCTTTCACATCACGTAGCCCGAAGCACTGTGAGGTATGCGGCGAGTCGAATAAGGCGTGGGTTGCATCCTGCTGACGGTGTTCGGCATCTTGTGCTTAGTTCCTTGCGATGAGGGCTGCATATGTCTTCAAATATTGTTTGGTGCTTCGCTTCCAGAGACAGTCGTAAGCACTGTGTAACTGCCACGAGGGTTAATCGCCAATTTTACATTACGTGGTGCGANCTACTCGGCCCTTTCTTGTACGTCTGTAGACTTTATCTTTGGTTGCTGCCTACTCTATATATCGACTGCTAAACTACGGTCGTCTTCCTTCTTCTGCTTCACTTACCCATAGTCATGCATGCCGTAGTTGATAGATCATTGACCTCGCATCCTTACAAAGCCGGGACGGAGAATACCGGGTTCTCGCTGAACCAGGCTTTCACATCACGTAGCCCGAAGCACTGTGAGGTATGCGGCGAGTCGAATAAGGCGTGGGTTGCATCCTGCTGACGGTGTTCGGCATCTTGTGCTTAGTTCCTTGCGATGAGGGCTGCATATGTCTTCAAATATTGTTTGGTGCTTCGCTTCCAGAGACAGTCGTAAGCACTGTGTAACTGCCACGAGGGTTAATCGCCAATTTTACATTACGTGGTGCGATCATCCGCTTTACGCGGAGTGAGGGTTCTCGACCCGGCACCATATTATCTACTTGATCACCATGATGGTTCCCGCGAGATATAGAACAGAGAACAACATATTCGCCTGATTGAGAGCGTAGCATCTGATTGAGAGCGAGATTGCGCGATACGCTGTAGCCGGACTACCACTGAGAGGTGGAGCTTGCTGTGTAGCTTGAATTGAAGGGCTAGCCCGTAGCTTCAAGCCGCTACCCTGGTCATCCTGTGGGAGTCTCTCGTTGTGGAGCTACAGCGGGGAGCAGAAGCTACAGCAGANTTCCTTGCGATGAGGGCTGCATATGTCTTCAAATATTGTTTGGTGCTTCGCTTCCAGAGACAGTCGTAAGCACTGTGTAACTGCCACGAGGGTTAATCGCCAATTTTACATTACGTGGTGCGATCATCCGCTTTACGCGGAGTGAGGGTTCTCGACCCGGCACCATATTATCTACTTGATCACCATGATGGTTCCCGCGAGATATAGAACAGAGGCAAGAATACAAAGCGGTGACCTGGTTGCCGAGCTCACTATGTGATGGGATTGAACTACAACAACGTCGTTGCCAGGCGACGAAAACCCAACCCAGATGGCAAGCACCGGGGAAGGGCGGGATAGCGGGGGGGGAACCTTAACCCTAGTTTCAATTTATTGTAGAGAACATGTCAGGAGTCGGATCCGACCCTGAAACGCTTGGCGGGTGTGTCTCATTTTTTTAGGTTCGACGTCATCCACATATGAACAGGTTGACAACACTCGCCACCCCTCGCGCTTCGCACATCCAAAGATTGCAATTAGCACGTACCCGCCATCATCATAGAAAGTCATAAAGCCTGCAGGAGCACCGCCGCGAGTCACCGCCGGTCGTAACCGAGACGCATGGCCACAGCAGAAGCGGAGCGAGGTACCGCCTGGTGTCCATCGCCAAACTCCTCGGTCCCGACCCACCCTTGAACAACAGGGATACCCCACCCTTGATCTGGCAAACCCGCCCAGATGTGCTTGTGTGCGAGCGCTGAGATTTCCGTATGTTCCTTCAACATCTTCAGCAGACACTGCCTCGTGGGGCGTGTCTCGTCGCTACAGCTAGACTACACGAACAGCAGCATCCGTATAGCGCACCGATTTCCTTCCTCGATCAATGCAACCACAAACAAACAATCCGACATTGAGCACCGCAACAACATCGTACAGCACCACCAAAAGCACGACTGCCAGAAGGGTTACGTCGCATATTGTAGAGCGCGCAGGAAGGATAGCCGAAGTGCCATTGACACGGTCTAAGCTAGAAAAGTTTACGAGTATGGAGGCAAAGGTGTAAGAATGAACGAAGGAAATCTAGGGTTTGTGGCGCGGGATTGAATCGTGCAGTGGTCAGAAAGAAGTGGTGAGAGAATTTCATCGGGATAACGGACATTCACGGGCGGNGTTTGTGGCGCGGGATTGAATCGTACAGTGGTCAGAAAGAAGTGGTGAGAGGATTTCATCGGGATAACGGACATTCACGGGCGGATGCGTGCAAGTAGTGGAGCATAGCATCAGCAGCAGCAAATAGAACCAACGGTGAACACCGCACCTGCTCCTGCCAGGCGAAAGAGCAATCAGCCCATCCAAAAGGTCGGGGGCGGACCTCGTTTGGGTAGCTAAGCGGAAAACCCTGACGTGCCCTGGGTTTGAAACGTTCGACTGGGAGTGGGACGGAACCGACCGGTGATATGCCGGTAAGCATGGTGGGCATAGATGGTTAAAGTTTCGCTTAAACTGTTGAGCTGTTTCACGCAGGTCGACGAGATAGCACCTGCCACGAAACCCTCCGGTCAGCATTGGAATTCGGCGCGTATGATCAATCGTCGACGGCGTTGCGGGCTCTCGTGGCTGATACAAGAATGGATGAGCTATTGCTTGTTGTAATGGGCGTACCCTTCAGTGCCATATTGGGTGATACGGTTGGGGCGCGGGGAGAAGGGGTTTCAAGGTGGGAGGTTTGGCGAGCGGGGGGGGGGTGTACTCATAGTCGTGCATGCCGTAGTCGTGAGACCATTTACCTTGCATCCCTACAAAGCCTGGACGGAGCACACCGGGTTCTCACCGGACCAGGCTCTCACAGCACCAAGCGCGAAGCGCCGTGAGATATTCGGCGAGTCGCATGAAGGGTGCGCTGCATCCTGCTAAGGGTTTTCGGCATCTTGTGCTTACTTCCTTGCGTACGGATGACAGCTGCGTATGACTTTATTTACTTTCTCGTGCTTTTACTTCGAGAGACAGTTGTAAGCACCGTGTAACTGCCTCGAGGGTGCTTGACCATTTCAACACAACGTGGTGCGATCATCCCCCTTGCGCGGAGTGAGGGTTCACCCCGCACAACATGATCTACTCAACCATCATTATGGTTACTGCCCAAAAAAAATAAACGGAGGAAAAAAAAAAGAACGGTAACCTGGTTGCCGAGCTCACGAAGTGAGTTGGCTTGTTTTACAANATGCGATCATGCCCCTTGTGCGGAGCGAGGGTTCTCGACCCCGCACAACATTGTCTACTCGACCACCATTATGGTTACCGCCAAAAA